TGTGTGTGTGTGTGTGTGTGTGTGTGTGTGTGTGTGTGTGTGTATAGCCAGATTGCTGTTTCACAACTAAATTGGTCGATGGAATCTGAATTATATGAGTCAGAGCCTAGGTGAAGTAAGGGACTGTGTATGATAAAATCTGAACTTCTGCACTTAACCTATAAGTCAAAGTGGGTTCGATAAATACGAGCTCTAAAGGTTCAGTACAGAAACCCATTTTGATATTTCAGGTCAATACTTGAAAATGTAATCCATAGATTATGTTTTTCTCTCTGCCCACTTCTCAAAATGTTCTATTAAAGGATGCACATTAAAAAAATTGGGCAAAGCAAAGAGAGCTAAGGCTGTGCATTAAAACACTGAAATGAGTAACAGAATTCCTAACCATTGAGTACACTGAATTTATGGCTTATTTCAAAACAATTTATCTTAACTTCTGGATATATTATATGACTAAGCTTTTTAATATGCTTAGGATTTGGTTTGGATTTGTTAGTAACTCAAATTTACCTGGAGTCAAGAGCTGGTAGAAATATGAAATACTACCAAGTGGCAGATGGATACAATCTTGGTATAGGAACCATTGCAAATAATTCATAAGACAGATGACCAAGATGTACAAACAATAAAGAGCTGGCTATGTTGTATTTTCCAAATCTATTATCTCATATGTCACAAAGCTTAGACTTTCTTTTAATCCATTCCAAATGTTTTATTTGCCCTTGCCCAGAAACTGACACTACATATCAACTATTCCAGTATAAAACATTTTATAAATTTCAGTTCCTATTAATTTTCATGGATTTTTGAAGATCAAGGGTTGTTATTTCTAACATTATGTGGTTTTCAATGTTGTTCAAATCATTTGAATTATAGGATTACAATCTTGCCTTCAGCAGTTTCACAAAGAAACACAGGATGATATTCATTTTTTGTTGTTGTTGTTCTCTTATAGCACTTTGTATGTTTAGGTGATAAAATTAAGGACTTTTGGAGAAAGCTTCAACTTCTCAACAAGATAAATACTAAATGTAGAATGGTTTAAGTAACATTTATCACAAGTTTAAGTCAACATTAGGTCTTTCTATTTAGTTTTAGTATACATTTTCAGAATGGTAGAAGATATTTGGAAGCAGACAATTGTGTATTTACCTGGGCACAATGTAGTGCATGCTATTTTCTGCACACTCTGTCCCTCACAGAAGGCACCACCATTGAGTGGGGCTGGGTTGGTGCAGGTTCTCGTACGTTTCTGATATCCTCGTCCACATCGGCTGTTACATACAGACCACTCTGTCCAAGTGGACCAGCCACCGTTAACTGAATGAGACAAACCACAAAGGGTATATTAAACACATGGGAAACACATGGGAATGTCCAATACACACACACACACACACACACACACACACACACACACACACACACACACAGCATACAGACTAGAGTATTTTCTATGTACTAATAAAAAGAACAAGATTTCAATGCTAGAGGACACTACAGATATCATTTCAGAGTTTTGTTGTATAGCTGAAGAATCTAAGTCAAGAAATATAAAATTATTTTCCAAGAGTCACTCACTTATAAAAAAACAAATAAGACTATGTTTTCTTTTCCTTGGCTAGCATTTTTAAGAAAAAAAATCCCCTTACCTAGTTAAACTCCAAAAAATTATATTTGACAGCTTATCTTGCATAATAAATGTTTACATCTGGATGCCAAGGCTGTGAGCCGAAGCATTGGAACTAAATAAAATCACTCAGACTCCTTAAAAAACAAATGATTAACTATTTTTCTTCAGCATTTTCAAACTTCACAGTTTTCAAGGAATTTTGTACAATTTTACAAACCCACATGTGAACCCAATTACAGAATTAAATCTTACAGTTTCCTAGTTTTAAATAAATTGGCAATCTGATTGAGCAGGCAACTGTTATGATAAATCTTTCAGTCAAAAGCCACCTGAGCCCCACCGCCACGTGTGAGCTTTACGTTAGCCGCCCGCCCCAGTTACGCCCAAGTTAAACCTGTATTGGGTTCAAAGCTGTTTGGACAATGATTAGGGCTTCTCATCTGTTAGCTCAGTCTTAATTATCATAAATCTATATATTTTATAAGACTTATCTTATCGGACGCCTTGTTGGCATCCCTCCTGGCTGGTGGATCACATTGTGTCGCTGGAGCAGGAGTGGAGGGGAAAAGAAAGTCCTTCCTGTTTCTTCTTTTCTTAAATATGAGTCTCCTTGCTATGTCACTTCCTTCCTGGATCAGCGCTTCTCTACTACATTTCCCAGAATCCCCTTTGACTCCTAGTCCCGTCTACTTGCTGTCTCATTGGCCAAACAGTATTTTATTCAACAACCAATAAAATAAACATACACAGAAGTACTTGCCCCATCAGGCAACTGGTTGGTGCATTTGAAATGGTTCCTCATCTTGTGCAGAAAAGCTAGTTATGATATGTGATGGAGGGACCATATATATATATATATATATATATATATATATATATTAGGGCTGCTGATTTTTTATTGATTTAATCTTTTATCCTGCCACTTTTCTGAAGGTGTTTATCAGATATTTGAATTCCCTGGTAGTGATCTTCTTAAAAATGTAGTTTAATAATTTGTGTTTATTTATTTTTTAAAATGTGAATTATTACTGGTAGTTAAAACACTATAGAACAAGTTTATGCATTTGCCTGCTGACATAAAGAGCTTAGCTACTGAAGCAATACAGATTTTATTTATGCATGCAAATGATTTGCCCTAAATTTTACTTTTTAGAAAATCTATTAATCAGAGAATAAGCATGACTGTATTTACAGACATGAATAAAGGTATCTTCATAATTGTAATGTGATGAATAATTAGCAGCACCTATATTGTTAAATATAGGAAAATGTTAAGTTGTATATTTTCATTCCATTAAAATGATGAAGAGGTTATCTAATAAAACAAGAATATTTAACATTTTACATTAAATAAAAATAACATATGTATAGTTCTTATCTTAATGTACTACCTGTGCATCTAAAAATACCTGTGGTATCATATTGATTTCAAAACACTATCTGTAGATGACAGGATCAAAAACAACTTCTTTGACCTTTTCTATGTATTCCAAATTTTCCCTAAAGATTATACTTTTATAAGCCAAAAGTGACAGCAATGAAGAAGAAGATATAAAAGATATTCAGCATAAGAAATGATGATTTTATATGTTTCTTTGGACTGAGGAGCCCAACTTATGTCTTGGGTAACTCAACTTATGAAGCCATGAAAAGCATGAACAGACAGTCGACAGGTAGAGTTTCAGCTGGAGTTTCCAAATCAAGTTCCATGCTAAGCTTTCTTCTGGTTCCATCCATTTGCCTGTGAGTTTCAAGATTCCATTGTCTTCTTTTCTGATGAGTAGTACTCCACTGTGTAAATGTATCACATTTTCTTATCCATTCTTCAGTTGAGGGGCATCTAGGTTGCTCTCAGGTTTTGGCTATTACAAATAATGCTGATATGAACATAGTTGAACAGATGCCCTTGTTGTATGAATGTGCATCTTTTGCTTAAGAGTGGAATTGCTGGATCTTGTGGTAGACTGATTTCTATTTTCCTGAGGAACTGCCATATTGAGTTCCAAAGTGGCTGTGTGAGTTTGCACTCTCACCAGCAGAGGAGTGTTCTGCTTTCTCCACAAACACAGAAGCTGTAATACTGAGTTACAATTACCAGTCTGTTGACATTCTAATGTCTCATTAAAAACTGGAAGCTTTCATATTTTTTTGGTTTTGTTTGTTTGTGTTTGCAGATACTAGACATAGCCTTCATTTTACAGAGAAAGAGAAGACTTAAAAAATATAGTTTAAAAAGCTAGACAGTTGCTGATCAAGACCTAGTTGCTTCATCTTTGGTCCTGACCTTTTTCTAATAATGCTTATGTTATTTGTGTATGATCCTTCATAATAACAATGTTCTCATTACATTTCCAGGTTTGGAAATCATGCTGTACCGAGAAAGAGATTTGCATCTATATTAAATACCTATAGAATGCATCTATATATAGTGTGCTTTCATTAGTTATTTGTGATTTGCACATACTATGATTTCCCCCTTACTTCTTTGCATTTTAAATGTTGTTAATCAAGTGTTTCAGGCAGTTTAGACTAAGATAAAAAGTACAAAACAATTTCATGTGATTTAAGGAATACAATTGCTTATAATTCAACATAGCCATTATCTGGACTAGGAAATTAAACCCCAGAGTAATCAGAGGATTAAAAAAATTGGAATGCTTCTGTTCTGTAATTAAAGTGGCAGTTTTAAAGGATCTCTGTGCAGCCTCTGTAACATCATGATGATTTCTGTTCTTGCACCTCCCCATCTTGTCAGGGACACAACCATACAAGGGTACTGTCAGAGAGGGAACAAGTTCATCTCTTTCTGTCTCTGACTCTCTAGATACATATATGTGTACACACACACAGACAGACAGACTCTTTCTCTCTCTCTCTCTGTTTCTTTTTAGTATGAGAATTAAACTGATGTAATATGGACCAACAAGTGAAAAACACATGAAGGGATTCAACACGTTTATGCAGCATGGATACACCTCAAAGAAGTAAAAAGCCACACATGCCATGAGAACTAAGCATGATTGTATGAGGTGGACCTGAGAGTGTTAAGTTTTGAAAAGGTTACTAAGAGTTAACTGAGTAAAGTCTGTATAGGACTCTCCTTCCAATTCTCTGTCCTCAATGATAAGAATTTTATTTTCTTTTTAGTGTATGGGAGGTAATTTTCCTGGGGACTTCTCTTGTATCTAAGAAAATGGCCAAAAAGCTGAAATGGAATATTCTTTGAAACCTTATGTTATCTTAATCTTGTCTTCTTTTAGGACTCTCTGAAGTAATTATCAGAATAGGCCCACTGACCCTATCCACTTCTTAAGCCATCAGAATCAAGGCATATGGCTGACCACAAAGAGGCAGAATCACTATTTTCTGAGCACAGGTACAGCTTGGCTGCCTTGTTCAAGAGCAAATCTCGCCTCAGATACTTGATGTTTAGTCTTCTCTGTGGTAATATTCAGTATAACGAAGACCTAATGTTTTGAAAATTATACAAATGTACAGTGTAATTTCTTACTGTACGAAACATCTGAAAGCTTAGCTGGGGAATGACTCACCTGAAATAGCTGGGGGATAACAGGGTACCAGCTGCATATGGAGGTAATAGCACTGATGCTACACAAAATGGAGTGTAGAATTGTTTGACACTTGAGAATCAATAGATTAGGAGATGAGCATCATGAGAGAGGCCAGAGAGTGGAAAGTCTTCCATGCTGTGGGAATGACAGTCCCTTGATCACAGTTGTCTTTATTATGGTTCTATACTCTTTGGGTGGAGGCAAGAAAGCAAGTTCAGGGAGAATGTTTTCTCATTGTGTTTCTGTAAATGTGGATCTGAGCCTAGATTCAAAGGATATACCATTGGTCTGCCTTGAACTTTGTTCTGTCCCAAACTCAGGTCTTGCTGATACTCATTCTCCTTGAGAAATGAGACATCCAAAAAGCAGCAGACACTTGGGTAGGGTTCCAAGACTTTCCAGATGAAAAGTTTCACCACTGTTATGAACCTCCTATAAGTAAGGGAACCATATTGGCATAAGGTTGGAAGGAACAGTAGTGGTAGTCTAAAAGAGATTGCTAGTTGGACATTCTAAAACAAAATAAGGTTATTAATGAGAAAGAATGGCTTGACACATGCTGAATGGAGACCCTGAGAGCTCACTTACCATACACGATGACCGTAGCTGTGGTGCTTTTCCTCTTGGCAACAATATTTTTGGCAACGCAAGTGTAATTTGCTGTGTCTGAGAGCCGGGCCTGCTTGATGATCAGGTTGTGATCAATAGTAATATAAAAATTCCGATCTTCAACAGGATCAATTATGTCTTCATTCTTTAGCCACTCGACCTAAAGACACACAAGAAAATTAGATAAATCTCCCTTCCGGATCCCTGCATGCCTGCTTGTCCTGACCTGGGTTTTGTAGTGTGTATAACATCATTTCATGGTATGAACCACTGCCAAGCAGAGGAAAGTAACTTTCCGAGGTCATATTAGGTATCACTCACCTGGCAAACATGCTGATTCTGTCTGTACTACATTATTCTCAAATGCCAATGAACCAGTTGGGAAATACAGAGCTCAAATTGTTTTCACTTTGCCCTGCAGGCAGGGATGGAGAATGAGCACTGCCAAGTACAGAACCCAATCAAAAATAACAGGCAAAGCGTTTCAAACCTAACCCAAACCTTTCGCTGTTTGATTTGTTTACTCTTGGCAACTTACCTGCTGCTTTACAGAAAAGAATATAAGACTATAAAAAAGCTCAAAAAGCATTTCAGACATCATGGAGAACTAATAAAGCAACATTCAGATGATTTACCTGTAGCCTCCATGCAACATATGGATTAAATTTTCCTGAAAATGCACAGACCACAAAATGTAGCCAAACACATATTTGGAGATGCATATAAACCAAAATATTCAGGGGAATGGGAAAATTTCCCTACCAACCCCTGCACAATCCAAATCACACATAAATCATACTCAAATTTCTTTCTGAGTAAATACTTCCCGTATCCAAATCTTTGGCTCTTAGTTTGCTTTTGGAGAATCAGACCTAAGAAATGACTATTCAACACTATCAAACCATTGTTTTGTTATGCAAATACTATTGGTTTAGCAACAGTGGTGCCCTACTATATCAATAAAAGAAGAGAAACATTCTCATGCAAACTGTCCTTCTGGAGGGTAAACTATTTTTTATCCTGGCAAGATTTGTTTCCCCATGAACCTGTTTTTCCATAATGGAAAACAACACTGATATTTAGCACAGTTAAACTTTCCTCTTGCATTACAGTGGATGTGGACACCGGTAACCTTTAGTGGGAGGAAGTCAACATTGTTGCCATTTTCAAAATCTCAAAAAGAGCTTCTTTGGCACTGTAAGAAGTCTAGAAATTAATCTTTAAATCTGTCAGTGAACTCCACACATCACTGTCCTAAGATACTTCTATACGGCAAGGGACTGTCAGTTACACTTCTCCAATCCACAGAGGAGAAGCCAGCATTAAGAGGGAAAAACAAGAACCAACTATTCGGCTGAGAAACAGAAGTACATGGGGGTACAGATGAGAACAACTATTTGTAATCATGTAAATTTGCAAGCAGTTAAACATTCTTGACATTTGCGCTAATGGTAGGGAGAAAGAGAATGGCATCCATTTAAAACTTGATTTTTAAAGATGAATTTTGTTATCAGAGGCGGACCACACATGATGCCAGTGACTAGCTGCAATATATTTATATGTGTGCGTATGCAAGGTCTCAAGACATACTATCAGAAATCTACTTGACAATATTGACAGTTGACCATTATTTCTTGGTCTAGTTTTGGCCTCGAGTGTGTGTCCTATCATGAAGAAAGCTTCCTTGCTCACTGAAGATGAGATTGCTGATTTTGTACTTAGATGAGCCTTCCTTCAAGCATCTACTTTGCTCTCCCTTGAGTGGTCTCTCTCAGACATAGGGACCCTCTTTTCCTTGGAAGTATCTATGAGTTTACATTTTCCCCTGTAACTTCCCTGTGTGTCATGGTTCCGTGTGTACATAGACTCGTAAGTTCCAACTGAGTCAGTTCAGCAGTGCAGTTCTCTGAGGTTTCCTCAGGGGATCATGTGAAATCTGGCTCCTGAGATTATGTTTGAATTTTCAGTCTTTGCTTTTTTTCCTTTTTGCTTATGTTTCCCTGTTGATTTTTCTTGGAGCACCTCCTTAAGGAATGAGTACATTCAGCCCTTAGGCCCATGGCTTGCTTCTGGTTTCTCACGTAGATTGATAATCTGTTTAACAACCGTGATACTATTCTAATCAGAATTGATATAAAAGAGATCCCAAGGGTATTATGAACCTCTAGTTTACTTGAAGAGTTTATTACATGGAAGAAAGAATTCTATTTACAAATTATACAAAAGATTTTGAGAGTCTGGCCTGATTGTTTGATGGATAATCTTTTTGTTTTCTTCCAGTGTCTCCATGAGTGGTGGGGCTTGTGGGACCTGAGACCTGAGAAGTCCCTGTGTTGAAATGAATGCCTCAGGTCCTTGAGGAAGGGCACTCCCTTTCTCCCCTACTGACTGTTTTCATCACAGAAGTTCTGCTTTGGGCAGTTTCCTGTGTTGGCCTTTGTACCAGCCTTGTAAGAAATGGGTTATATTAGTAAAAAGCAGAACCAAAAGAGGAGGGAAGCTCTGGTAGTTTCAAAGGGGCCTGCATTCTTGTACCCCTGATGTGTCATACCCTCTGCTCTAAAATCAGAACTCCTTGTATAAACACTTCAGGGTTCTTCTGCTGTGCTACCAGACAACAAAATTCTCCAGAATGCCATCTTCTTAGGATGTCAACTTTTTCTGTTCCGCATCTAAACTTCATGCCTGTTGACATCAGTGTTTCTTCTAGAGTCTTCCTAAGTAGCAGGTACTTGGTTTCCTAAGTGGAACAAACACTGGAGCCTCTGCTTAGCAAGTGCCTTTATTTTATATTGTTGTTCCAGATCTTTCTCTCTCATCTCTCTTGCTTTCAGTCTCAGGCTACTAGTTATCACCTGATACCTACATTTTTTTTTGTAGCAATCTAGAGGTCACTTTAGTCAACACAATTTATAATTATATTAATAACCTTAAAGATGAAACATCTGATTTCTGCATTCTGCCCTGGATCTACCTGGAAAAATCTTGTCCTCTTAGCCCACACATTCTTTGTAGAGGCTTCAACTTCAGCTTCACAGTAGGATAGCTTGGAGAATGTTTCTAATATATGAGTTCTAAATTTGACACACAAAGTAAATCTCCCCTCACCTCAAAATAAGGATTCTCAGTCTGAAGAGTTCTATCATCAGTGTTTTCAAATCTCTCTCAAGGGTTAGAAGTTATTGTTATGTTACTGACTTTCAAAATAAATTCTCTAGACAGGCATTGCTAATACCACCCCAAGAGTAAGATGCCATGCACAATCTTGCCCTCTGCCCACCTACACACACTGATCCGAGTTAGGCATCCAAACATGAGCTCCAGGGCACTTCTGTGTACAGTGACATTTTGGAAACATTGTGTAACTTTTGTCCATAATACTACAAGTCATCCAGGTGTTGATATGATATCCAATTATCCTCTCCTTTTGCTAATTTTCTGTCTTCCATGCTTCTTTTCTCTAGTAGTCCTTGCTCAACAGTTCTTCATCAGATCTTCCCATCTGTTTTACCTACCAATCCTATTTCTCATTCTTCTGCATCACCTTGTCTGTATTTCTTAAATGTGATCCTGGTGTCTTTGATGCACAAATCTTGCACCATGCTCTCAACTTTACTCTTTACTTTCAGGTACCTGCTTTCCTTATACATCTGTGTCTTAAAGCAGAGCATAGATGCCCAGAGCCATTGTAAATGGGCTCATGACAAATCCATGAACAAGGAAAAGCAGAACAAGGACTTTTAGTTTTGCTAAGTCACACTGTAGTTTTATCTGTTGGCTCAACTGTCTTAGACACCTGCTTCTTGCTTTGCCTTTCACCCTTAAACATTGTTTCCTTGTCTGTCTTTATATTATTTCATATCACAGAGACAACAGGCAATCAGGAGAGAGCCTCTGAATTCCTGGTCTGCCTAGCTACTCCTATGGCTCACTATCTGAGGGTGCTCTCTGGGCTCTTATAAGGTGACCTTGATTGGGGCTTTCTATCTGTTTATCATTGTCTTATTCAAGGGCAAATCTCAGAAATTCTCTTTCTCTTAAATCATTCAATTATTTCTCTCTCTGGAATAATTTCCATAAACAGGCAAACATACTGTTATTTTTCACAACTCCCACAAAACTATTCAGCCTCACATTCCTCTGTGGGTCTTCTAAGAATTCCTGGAAGATTCCTATCACTCCCTGCCTTCTTCTTTTCTATTGAACCCATCATAATCCTCCTCCATGTTCACTTTCATTGAGACTGTCCTCAGTTGTGAGTGACTTTGACACTCACTATGTAGACAGCATTTAGGACCCACCATACATGCTTAGCAGTAGCATGTGGTCCTGTTAGTCCCTTTCTCCTTCTTATTTGTTTTCCCAGGACACAGCACATTACAGGATCTGTTCCAGCTCATACATCCACCTAAACTTCCTTGATCAAACTGGTACCACCATGGTCTTGCTCTCTTCTTTGTCTCTCTTTTGTACTCAGATTCACTTCCTTGGCAATCTCATTTCATTTAATTCAGATGACTCTCTTAACTTACTTCCAATTCAGATTCCACCCATGATCTTTGGGTGCATATATCTGCTGTCATGTAATGCACTCAATTGTCTGATAGTGTCCTTCTGAACAGACATTCCCAACCTGCTTTTCCTGTTGTCTCATTTGTCTCAGTCAAGGCCAGTTTCAGCCTGCAGCTAGTGAAAGATACTCTCTGGGTGTCTATTGCATTCTTTCTCTCTCTGACCATTCACTGTTGAATGGTCTAGCAATATTCTGACTCCCCCTCACCCACTGCTATCTACTTCCTTCCAATTCCAAGTCACCATTTTTCTATCAGATTGCAAGAAGAATCTTGTCATCTTACCCTCTATGTTTCCTCTTACTCCTCAATATTGTGGGAGTCACAGGAATCTCCCAATATATGCTACATCATTTCCAAACCTCCAGTGACTCCTTAGTTAATCTAATGTCAACTCTAAACCCTTACAGTGAACTATTATGGAGCCCCAATGCTGCCAGAAAACTCAGGCCTTTCCAAGCTTCACTGCCAGTTTTCCCATGGCCTTATCTCTCAGTATGTAGGCCCTGTTACAGAGGCGTTCATGCAAACCAGAATGCTCTTGGTGGGAAGACACTGAATCTGCTGTTCCACTACAGTTGTGTAAATC